TAAAATGCATTTATTTTTGAAAATTGGTGGGCAAAGGGGGGGGGCAGAAGGGATTCTCGCCTAAGGTGCAAAATAAGCTGGAGCCGGCCCTGCCCCCCCCCCCACACAAATCTCCAGGAATCCCCCAACCCGAACAAGGAATTTAGCTTATGAAAAGAATATCTCCTGGCTTAGGATCCATTAAACATTTAGACGACTAAAACATCCAGGGGAAGCTCGTTTCGCCAGTAGATAAGTGGCGCGATCCATTCTCCCTCGCCATTGGCAGAATCGGATGAGTTACGCGTAATCGTGAAATGGCAGGACTGAATTATGCAAAAATCAAAGTCAGGCCGATGTGTTTAATTTGCCCACAGGATCCCGCCACAGCTCAGTGCAGCCGTTTGAAAATGTAGACAGCTGTGTGGAGGTATATCTCTACAACCAACACGCTGGGAGAGGTGGAGAGGGAAAGGGACAGGGTTTCTTCCTCTCGCCATTGAGATGAAAAATGGTTCTGAAGACACTATCCTCAGAACTGGGGGAGGAGGGGTATACGTATATATATATACCATGAGAGTGGATGTGTAACCTTTTGGAAAGCAGAAAACCAAGATGGAGCCGGGCCGAGGGGAGGGGAGGGGGGAAAGGCAGGCGCTGAGTGTGTGTTGGTCAATATTTCTCCTGAAAATGTATAATGCATTTTCTTTTCTGAAAAATTAATAACCTTGCTTTGTTTCTATCGACTTTCTCCTCCGGCTCGCAGTGGACGTCCAGTGGAAATCAAGCCGTGAGAGCAAAAAAGCCGGCTTGACCCTTGGCTGTTCGGCTCGGGAATCTTTTCAGTGGCTGCGGAAGGGGGCTGCGTTTCCAGACACTGCGTCTCCCCGGGACGGTGGGAGCCAGCGAAACCTGAGTCTTGGGCTTGGCGGATCAAGAGCTCCGTCTGTTCCGTGGGGGCCAGACTCAGCATGGGCTGAATTCGCTGCTTGGAGTTCAGGAGCAGGCAGCCCCTGCTTTTAAAAAAACACCAAAACATTTAAAGGGTTCCCTTTAAAGAGTTCAGGGAAGGCGTGTGGCCACCTCTCCCTTCCTGCAAGATTTAAAGGGCCCTCCAGCGAATCAGCGGGCCACGCGCTCCCGCCGATCAGCTGGACAGCACTGTTCCCTCTAAGCTGAGTTAGTGTGAGCCAGCTCAGAGTCTCTTAGCCTCCGGCTTGCACATTTTTGTCTTAGCTCAGGAAGGATGGCTCCTGGGCAAACTAATTTATGCAGTAGCCCAATCGCTCGCTCACAACTTGAATGCTAGTAGCTCACAATGAAGAATTTTTGCTCACAAGGCCCACTGCAGTGGCGGTCCTTACAGCGGGGAGGGTGCAGGGGGGGCACAGTTTGGCACCAGCACCCTGCAGGAGCGCTGCTGCCACCGGGTGGGGAGGGCGTGGATGCGGGGAGGCAAAGTCTGGCGCCAGCACCCTGTAGGAGAGCCACCGCCACCGTGGTGGTGGTCCCAGCAGCAGCGGCGGGGAGGGCACGGGGGGCAGTCCAATTTGGCACCCTAAGGGCCGGCCCGTGCTCTGCTCTAGGCGGATGCCTAGTTCTCCTAGCGGGTGAGCCAGCCCTGACAAGGCTCCATAGTTTAGAGGGAACATTGCTGGAGAGCCCGTTTAATGTCACAGGAGGGGAGGGAGTGGGGAGAGGGGAGAGGGAAGGGGGAGAGGGGCAGCAGCTGTTGTGGGGCATGCCTCACATTTGAGGTAGCAGAGCCCCAAAATGCCCCCGTCATAGCTATGGGCCTGCTCAGTAGATGATCAGTGGGGCAGCTGCCAGGGCTGAGTGGAGATTTAAATGCAGGTTTCTTAGGATCTTAGCCAGACACATGAACTACTACACCACACTGGGTCTCCACGCCTAATTCTTCCTTAGCCTTTCCAAGAGGATGAAATATTTCTTAAACACCCAGGGAAATGCTGATCGCCACTTTGGGGTCAGGAAGCAATTTTTCTCCAGGCCAGTTTGGCCGGGGATCCTGTAGGGGTTCTTTTGCCATCTTCTGGGCCTGGAAAAGGGGTCACTGTGGGTGTGTGGAGGGAGGTCTTTGTGAGTTTCCTGTATTGTGCAGGGGGTTGGACTAGATGACCCTGGAGGTCCCTTCCAACTCTATCATCCTACAATTTGGGTAGTTTCTAAAAGTGGATGGGAGAAGACCAACCACAGTGTTGAGGTTGGCAGACTAAAATCAGCCCCACTGGATACAGCTGTGTGGGAGTCTCGTTACTTGGTGGATGATCCAAAATGGCGCAGTCCTCGTGGCTGAATTTACCACAACACTGAATGAGCGTGGAACCCTACGGGGTGATGGACAGGAACCAAGAACCCAATCCGTAAAGCAGCAGGGAGCTCTGGCCAGAGGAATTGTAGGCAGACTGTCCAGTTGATCAGGGACCCACACTGGCCAGCCAATCAGGGACCCACACTGGCCAGCCAGTCAGGAACCCAAGCGGGCTAGCCAACGAAGGACCAAAATGGCCCACAAGTGAATGTTCACATTTGCACAAAGATTGCCAGTTAGCAGAGACAAGCTGGCGTGCCGGATAAATCCAAGTACAACACAGTGCCAGGTCAGAAGAAGATTAGCAGGTAGTGAGAACGAGGCATGAAATATAGCTGTTATAGCTGAAATCAAAATTTTTCTCTGTGGATGCTAGTATTTCTCTGTGGATGCTAGTATTGAATATTGCCTGGATATTCTGCGAATGCTCAAATATGTGCCAAACGTTCTCTCAGTATTGGATATCTTTATCGGACGGCTTTTAATGTTTGGCAAGGATTGATTGAAGTCCTGTGAACAATTTTGGTCACACAACCCCATTCTCAGAAAGGAGCTGGGAAAGTTGCAGAAAGGGGCGGCTGAAGCGATCAAAGGGTTTGAACACCTTCCCTGTGAGGCCGGGCACGGGCACGTTTCTCGACTCGTCAGTTCGGGGGTGGGTGGGGGGTGGATGATAACTAAAGTGAAGGTCATGCATGTTGTGAAGAAAGTCGGCAGGGAATTTTGTCCCCCTCCCTTTCCCCAAATGGCGGTGAAAAGTGCCGTCGAGTCACACCTGACTTATGGCGACCCCGCAGGGTTTTCATGGCAAGAGTCGAACAGAGGCAGTGTGCCATTGCCTGCCTCTGCATTGGAACCCTAAATATACTGCATCAGACCATTGGTCCACCAAGGTCAGTATCATCTACTCAGACTGGTATCGGCTCTGCAGGGGCACAGGTGGCAGTTTTTCAGGGAAGGGAGGGAGGGAGGGAGGCAGGGAGGGAGGGAGCACAGAAGGGAGGGAGGGAGGAAAGAAGGGAGGGAGGGAGGGCAGAAGGAAGGAAGGAAGAGGGCACAGGGAGGAAGGAAAGAGGCACGGAAGGAAGGGAGGGAAGGAGGGAGGGAGGGAAAGGTCACAGGGAGGAAGGAAGGAAGGAAGGAAGGAAGGAAGGAAGGAAGGAAAAGGGCACAGGGAGGAAGGAAAGAGAGGCACAGAAGGAAGGGAAGGAGGGAGGAAAAGGTCACAGGGAGGATGGAAGGAAAAAGAGGCATGGGAGGAAGGGAAGAAGGAAGGAAAAGGGCACAGGGAGGAAGGAAAGAGAGGCACAGAAGGGAGGGAGGAAGGGAGGAAAAGGTCACAGGGAGGGAGGGAGGAAAAAGAGGCATGGGAGGAAGGGAAGAAGGAAGGGAAAGGGCACAGGGAGGAAGGAAAGAGAGGCACAGAAGGGAGGGAGGGAGGAAAAGGTCACAGGGAGGGAGGGAGGAAAAAGAGGCATGGGAGGAAGGGAGGAAAAGGGCACAGGGAGGAAGGAAAAAAGGCAATGAAGGAAGGAAGGAAAAGGGCTCAGGGAGAAAGGAAAGAGAGGCACAGAAGGGAGGGAGGGAGGGAGGATGGATTCAAGAGAAAGTCAACAGACATCTCTCACCTCCTGTGTGAGCAGAAAGCAAAGTTCATATAAAGATGTGAAACACATGAAACAGCCTTATACTGAATCAGACCATTTGTCCATCAAGGTCAGCACTGTCTACTTAGACCAGCAGCGGCTCTCCAGGGCTCTCAGTCTTTCACATCACCTACTGCCTGGCCCTTTTTAAACTGGAGATGCCGGGGACTGAACCTGGAACCTTCTGCACGCCAGGCAGAGGCTCTCTCCCACTGAGCCATGGTACATAGTCAGTATCCCTCTGGGTACTACCTGCTTTGGCTTCTGTGCCAGTCTTGTGGGCCTTCCAGAGCACCTGATTGGCCACTGTGTGAAGCAGGATGCTGGATTGGATGGACCACTGTTCAGATCTGCTAGGCCTCCAGTCCTGCTCTTATCCATCGCACAGCAACGAGCAAGTTGATAAGACATGTTTATTCATTAAAACATTTATGTTCAACTACATGTCGTTGCAAAACAGGCTAGTTATGAAATTTGAACTCTGTTGAAATGTTCAATATAATTGTACCCCAATAGAAGTAAATATCACTGTATTTTATAGACAGTGTCTTAAGAATTATAATGAAGGGGGCGCTGGGAGAAATATTCTCTGTTATGCACTCCGATATAGGCCCTTTCTACACTGACAGCTTGCTCCGGAGAAACCAAGGAGTCAAGCCTTAAGAGTTTACTTTGCAGTCACATGCATTCCCTCTACACTGGTTCCCCACCCCCCTGCTCTGGTTTATTGATTTGTGTGTTATGTATGCATTCTGCATCTATAAGCAAAACCCGCATTTTTTTGAGCTAAGTGGCTGCCAACCCCCCCTACATGATTCTGCAAAAAGAAAGGGTAGGAAGGGGGAAATCCAGACCCACACATGCAAGACTGACATATTTGGGAGCAGGGAATCCCCTAGTCCAGGCATGTCCAACTTCGAACAGGTAGTGATCTATTTTTTCTGCAATCAAAGAGATGGTCACAGTCCAGAGAACTTACAATATATGAATCATGCAACTGTGATAAAGAAGCATTCACAATGAGTCCCAGAACGGCACCCTACCAGCAGCTGGCCCGTTGGCCTGTCCAAAATATCCAGGCGGAGGCATCGGCGGCATCACCAGGTTGAACGGGATCGGAATGTTCATGGCGGTGACGTGGCTCGGCCCGGCGCTGATCACCCCGATCTGATCGTGCGTTTGGAAGTACATGTTGGAGGGGCGGCCTGAGGGTACAGCACGGGAGAGAGGTCAACACCCGCTGGCCAAGATCAAGGGGGGCAAACCCGAGACCCTTCCCAAGACAGTTCCGCCCCGCCAGGGTCAGAAGACATAAAGCGAGTGAACCGCTTGTCATTTGGTTTCTCTCTATGAGCGGCAGAGAACTAATTTAACCACACATTGCTCCTTCGGGCCAAAAGTGCCGGTGATCTACCACCATGAAAATAAAGTTTCAAATTAGTTTCAAATTAGATTTTAACCCGCTAAAGTTGGGTTCCACCGCGCCCACCCCCCTTTAGGATGATGCCAAAACCACACGTGCAGTTCTAAAAGTAAAAAATAAGACTTCATCATACTGGCACCAATAATCAAATACCACCAAACAAAAAAACCCAAACACCTGTCCAGCAAACCAGGAGACCAAGTGGGGCTGCTGATCTACCTGTTGGACATACCTGCCCTAGTCCTTCATGTTTACTGATTCCTTATTATGCTCTCTCTGGCTTTTTAAAAGTTTGCCTGAGCAGGAGAACACATCCTCTTTTGTCTTTGGAGGAGGAGAGAAAGAAAACGGAACAGAGAGGGAGTGTCAACCTAAAGAGAGAGAGGCAGAAGGGCGGGGGCAGTGGGCAGCACGTAAACACCCGCAGGAACAATTCTACTTTAGAAAGGGTTAGCGATTGAAAGTGGATGAGAGCAAAGAATTACAGCAAAAGGAGTTTGGGTAGCTGCGGGGCAACGGTGTGCTGGAAGCAGTCTGAATGCAGATTCCTGTAAAACAAACGCGGAAACAAGAGAAAGCCCCGACACAAAGGGAAGCGAGGCAGCCGAACTGCGCATGTGTGAGCAGAGGTCATTTTGGGGGGGAATGTGGGGGAACGCAGTTCCCCCGGGTGAGGTGCAGGGGGCGGGGCACATGATGAATGGCATATGCTAATGTTATGCTAATGAGTTCCCCTAGCTCTTTTTCTACGAAATGACCCCTGTGTGTGAGCATGCGCAGTTCGGCCGGGAGCCGGGATTGCTACGAACGAAGAGCGCGCCGGCGATCCCACGGCCGCGCTTGATGCGGCGTCCCAGGTAAGTCCTCCTCTGGGGGTGGTTCTTTTTTACAGCGCGTTATTGGCCTGAAGGGATGGATCGGGGACGGGTGCGAGCTGATTCCCAGATGTTGCGGTGTGCTCGCGCCCGTTTGCTGCGCCCCCGATCCGTCCCTCTCCCGGGCCAAAATCTCCCGTGTGACCGGGGCCTTTGTTGGTCTTAAAGGTGCCCCGCTGGACTCTAATTTTGTATTACTGCTTCAGACCAACACGGCTGACCACCTGGATCAGCACTTATTATTCCATTCAGCTCCAACGACTGGTAGAAGCTGGAGGGGAGGGGCGGAGGATGAGGCTAGAAAAGAACCAAAGTCAAGGCAGGATGTAATTGTGGCAGAGTCCAATATGGATGTTGGGAGGGATGGCAGCATGGTATAGCCCAATCTCATCGGATCTCAGAAGTTAAGCAGGGTCAGCACTTGGATGAGCGACCACCGAGGAAGACTCTGCAGGCAATGGCAAACCACCTCTGCTCCTCACTTGCCTTGAAAGCCCCTTGTTGGGGTGACCACGAGTTGGTTGTGATTTGACGGCACATATGTATGTGATATGGATTTGCAGACAGCTTCTTGGCCCCATTCAAAACCCACCCAATGAAGCTGATGGGCAGTAGGTTCAGAACGGACAAAAGGGAACACCACTTTACACAGGGAGTGATTAGAATGTGGACTTCACTGCCAGAGGATATCATGATGGCCACTGGGAGAAACAGCTTTAAAAGGGGATTAGATAGATTCATGGATGGTAAGTCTGTCAATGGCTACTAGCCGTGGTGGCTGAGGGGAACCTCCACATTCAGAGGCACTAAACCTCTGAACCCCAGAACCAGGAGGCAATATAAGGGGAAGGCCTTGGCCTCTATGTCCTGCTGTCACCCATCCAGAGGAACTGGATGGCCACTGTGTGAGACAGGATGCTGGACTAGAGGGACCACTGGTCTGATCCAGCAGGGCTATTCTGATGTTCTTATCAGCAGAAGGCCTCAGCCTCTATGCCCTGTTGTTGGTCCTCAATTGGAACTGGTTGGTCACTGTGTGAAACAGGATGCTGGACTAGATGGACCACTGGTCTGATCCAGCAGGATTCTTCTTATGTTCTTATCAGGAGAAGGCCTGGGCCTCTTTGCCCTGTTGTTGGTCCTCCAGAGGAGCTGGTTGGCCACTGTGTGAGACAGGATGCTGGACTAGAGGGACTCTTGGTCTGATCCAGCAAGGCTCTTTTACATTGTTATCAGGGGAAGGCCTCGGCATCTGTCTCCTGTTGTTGGTCCTCCAGAGGAACTGGTTGGCCCCCGTGTGAGACAGGATGCTGGACTAGAGGGACCGCTGGTCTGATCCAGCAGGGCTGTTCTTACGTTCTTAAGCCTAGCAAATGGCAGTCTTGGCACCTTAGAAACAAAAACCCTCCCTCCCCCAAACGTAAATTGCTTGTACAAAACACTTTGTTGGTCTGAAATCGACAGACTTCTCTCCCCCTTCTGACTGCAGTCACAGGTAAGTCTCCCCCCCCCCGCCCAGCCCCCCCCAACTCCACTGTGAATTTTCACAGCCCAGACGCTGCCTCATTAGGAGGAGTTTGATGGTTGAAGCTCCGGATCAGAATGAAGATTTATGCTGGGGTTAAAGAACACCAGGATGTCTGGCTAAGTTGTTGCTAAGATCTCAGCAGCTGACAGGGTCAGTGGATTGCCCGTCAAATATCGAGCAGAGACATCAATGATGTTCGCCCTAAGTGAAAACAAAAGAGGAAAAAAACCAAGAAGAAGATGAGCCGTTAATGGTCTCCCTGAGACATCTTTTTGGCAAGGTGGGTTCTAGAAGTACCTGGAAGAAGCATTATTCATGTCAGCAGCGGAGTGGTGCTTAGTACATTGCTTGCTCTGTGGCTGTTCGGACAACGGTTTTTAGGAGCGGGGTGTGTGCAAAAGTCGGATGTGACTGTAACAGCTGGAAGTCTGCTCGGTAACAGGAAGCGGAGAGCTCCTTTGCTTGCTTTCTACTTATTTTAGGATATTTGCATTTCTATTTAAAACGCTTCTCGACAAAACAGGGACCAAAGCATCTTAACAAAGAGGGGTGCCAATTTTGGCTTAGAAGCTTCCTAGAGATTTTTTTGGGGGGGCAATGTCTGGGGAGGGTGGGCTTTGGGGAAGGAAAAGAGCTTGGGGTGTATGTGAGGTCCTAGGCTCTTTCTGCACTCTCCTTTTAATCCATGTTCACTGCGGTGTCCTAGCAGGGCTCTTTTTGTAGCAGGAACTCCTTTGCATATAAGGTGACGCACCCCTAATGTAGCCAATTCTCCAAGAGCTTACAGTAGCCCCTGTAATAAGAGCTCTGTAAGCTCTTGGAGGATTGGCTACATTGGGGGGAGGTGTCGCCCAATATGCAAAGGAGTTCATGCTACAAAAAGAGCCCTGCAAAGCAATTCTGCACTAAAACCGAGTTCAGCCTTCTCTTTATTCCAGGTTTCTCCCTCATTCTGCATTACATTCCCTCGTTTAAGTGGTCAGCCCAGTTTTAGCCTGCTGTTGCCCCGGGGTTATCCGGATGCTGTTTTACAGTGGACTTTAATTGCCTCAACTCGACTGGTCCTTCCCGCAATTTGCCTGCCACTCCGGATTGTCTCAGTGTTCAAGTCTGTAAAAATGGGCACATTTTCAATGCTGTTTATGCATCAACTGTGTACAAACTGCACATATGTAGCCACTGGACTTAAATGCAATGAAAATGGTGTAAGAACCAAAGAATCCCAAGGAATTCTCAACAGAGAGAACAGTCTTGCGGGGAAGAACTGAGGACCACATACAAAATCAAAGAGGAAAACATGCACCCACCTACACAAATTGCCCCTTTGAATAATACTGCATGTGGATAATAAATGTGTAGCAATTACTTAACATCCTCTTTTTATTAATGGTATTATTTTATTAATACTTCTCAATCAACGTACGTAATATAAAGACAGTGCAGCTAAATAGATACTAACTGTTACCCGATAGAAAATACAATATAAACACATGCACAAATCAGTGTTCCCTCTGAGCTGAGTTAGTGTGAGCTAGCTCGCAGTTTTTTAGCCTCCAGCTCACACATTTTTGTCTTAGCTCAGGAAGGATAGCTCCAGAGCAAACTAATCTATGCAACAGCCAAATCGCTCGCTCACAACTTTAATGCCAGTAGCTCACATAATATAAGTTTTGCTCGCAAGACTCCACAGCTTAGCGGGAGCATTGCTCCAGAGGAAACTAATTTATGCAGCAGTCAAATTGCTCACTCACAACTTTAAGGCCAGCAGCTCACAAGGTAGAATTTTTGCTCGCAAGACTCCACAGCTTAGAGGGAGCATTTATGCAAATACATCTCAGGATTTCTTCTCTTACGGCAGACTTAATTTTGTTCCAATAAGCAATAAATAAATAAATTTAATAAATAGATGATTGTCAGGTTTTTACAACTTCTTCTTGAATGTTAGTTTGTTTGTTTGTTTATTTTCCTCTGCCCATCCCATTTTTTAAAAAAATTACAGTTATTTTGTTCATTAACAAGGTGGACCATGCTTCACGTATCTAAACCTTGGGTTCTGGAATCTTAATTCCCCCCCCCCCAGTGTAGTGCCAGAATTAATCTGGCTGCCCCCAGTAAGTTCCTGACCAATTGCATTCTTTCTGATTTCCAGCTTCTGGGAACCATACTGAGGCAAGTTTAGGATCCATTAGCAGTTGAACCCCCTAGTATGTCTCCTAATATATTGAACACGTCTTTCCAGAATATCTTTGCCACTGACGTCATCGCATTGGGCACGTTGGGGGCGGGGCCACAATCATTCTGAGGGGAAACAATAGAGTTTTCCCTCGAATGATAGAGCGTCTCCAGGTAACGTGCCTGAGGTGATGACGTCACCCTCCA